AAACGCACAAGGTAAAAGTAAAATTGCAACAAGAAAAAACAAACCTTTACCTACATCCAAGACAACAACAACTTACCCCTTTCCCCAGAGGGATGTACTAGTAAAAACCCCCTTTGGGTCTCACAGTCTCATGTACCACGGGGTAAAAATGCCCTGTCATCCCAAAAAGAAGGGTACTTATTATTTTTAATTTTTATACAGTATTTTTAAAAAGCGCCAATATTCCTCAGCGCTGTACTTAAAAGGGTATTTTACATTTTGCTTTTTTACGCCTTTCCTGCCTGTGAAAATTTTTCTCTTATTGGCCGCATCAAAATCATTATCAAAAGGGTTTTGGGGAACGCCTAACTTTTGGCAAGAGGGAAGACAAAAAAATAGCGTACCATGCTTTTTGCGAATACCACCAAAAATCCTTTTCTAATCTACAAAGGATAATAAAATCCATCCCGATAAATATTCTCCGCGAGCATTGCCAATCGTTATTAACAGGAAACTTACGGTCAAAAAAAAATTCTTTTATTCTTTTTAACTCCTCAACTCCTTCTCTCAAGTCTCCTCCTCGCATACTCATAGAGATGAGCCGAATCGAAATGGCGAAGTGGAATTCGTATTCGAAATTTTCAGGAAAAAATTACGATTCCGCAGCGGAATCCGAAAATTAGCAAACAATTTTTCGATGCCACGAAATCGAATTTTCCCAAAAATGGCGGCGACAGGGGGGTGTGTGCGACACACAGAATTGTTACTCAGGGACACAGAATTGTTACTCAGGGACACAGAACTGTTACTCAGGGACACAGAATTGTTACTCAGGGACAGGGACACAGAATTGTTACTGAGGGACACAGAATTGTTACTGAGGGACACAGAATTGTTACTGAGGGACACAGAATTGTTACTCAGGGACACAGAATTGTTACTCAGGGACACAGAACTGTTACTCAGGGACACAGAATTGTTACTCAGGGACACAGAACTGTTACTCAATTGTTACTCAGGGACAGACACAGAATTGTTACTCAGGGACACAGAATTGTTTACTGAGGACACAGAATTGTTACTCAGGGACAGACACAGAATTGTTACTGAGGGACACAGAATTGTTACTGAGGGACACAGAATTGTTACTCAGGGACACAGAATTGTTACTCAGGACACAGAACACAGGGACACAGAATTGTTACTCAGGGACACAGAATTGTTACTCAGGGACACAGGGACACAGAATTGTTTACTCAGGGACACAGAAATTGTTACTGAGGGACACAGAATTGTTACTGAGGGACACAGAATTGTTACTCAGACAGGACACAGAATTGTTACTCAGGGACACACAGAATTGTTACTGAGGGACACAGAATTGTTACTCAGGGACACAGAATTGTTACTCAGGGACACAGAATTGTTACTCAGGGACACAGAATTGTTACTCAGGGACACAGAATTGAATTGTTACTCAGGGACACAGAATTGTACTCAGGGACACAGAATTGTTACTGAGGGACACAGAATTGTTACTCAGGGACACAGAATTGTTACTCAGAGGGACACAGGGACACAGAATTGTTACTGAGGGACACAGAATTGTTTAGGGACACAGAGGTTACTGAGGGACACAGAATTGTTACTCAGGGACACAGAATTGTTACTGAGGGACACAGGACACAGAATTGTTACTCAGGGACACAGAATTGTTACTGGGACACAGAATTGTTACTCAGGGACACAGAATTGTTACTCAGGGACACAGAACAGGGACACAGAATTGTTACTCAGGGACACAGAATTGTTACTCAGGGACACAGAATTGTTACTGAGGGACAGGGACACAGAATTGTTACTCAGGGACACAGAATTGTTACTGAGGGACACAGAATTGTTACTCTGAGGGACACAGAATTGTTACTCAGGGACACAGAATTGTTACTCAGGGACACAGAATTGTTACTCAGGGACAGAATTGTTACACAGAATTGTTACTAGGGACACAGAATTGTTACAGGGACACAGAATTGTTACTCAGGGACACAGAATTGTTACTCAGGGACAGACACAGAATTGTTACTCAGGGACACAGAATTGTTACTCAGGGACACAGAATTGTTACTCAGGGACACAGAATTGTTACTCAGGGACACAGAATTGTTACTCAGGGACACAGAATTGTTACTCAGGGACACAGAATTGTTACTCAGGGACACAGAATTGTTACTCAGGGACACAGAATTGTTACTCAGGGACACAGAATTGTTACTGAGGGACACAGAATTGTTACTCAGGGACACAGAATTGTTACTGGGACACAGAATTGTTACTCAGGGACACAGAATTGTTACTCAGGGACACAGAATTGTTACTCAGGGACACAGAATTGTTACTCAGGGACACAGAATTGTTACTCACTCAGGGACACAGAATTGTTACTCAGAGGGACACAGAATTGTTACTGAGGGACACAGAATTGTTACTGAGGGACACAGAATTGTTACTCAGGGACACAGAATTGTTACTGAGGGACACAGAATTGTTACTCAGGGACACAGAATTGTTACTGAGGGACACAGAATTGTTACTCAGGGACAGACACAGAATTGTTACTCAGGGACACAGAATTGTTACTCAGGGACACAGAATCGTTGAATTAAAGAGAATGTCAGACAACACGCAAGTTAGTGGCAGAGGAGGCAATGTTTCAGGAGCGAGCAACGTGGCAGCAGAGGAAGGGGTCGAGGCAGCACTAGTTACTCAGGGCCAGAGGCCAGTGCTCCCGGTCATCCAGCGGTCGTGTCTCCACCGACAACCCAGCCGTCATCGATTGGTTGGCTCGGTCGTCTTCCTCTTCCCAGGTCACCTCTCAGGGACACCTACAGCCAACGGTCGGTGGGTACGTCAGACACAACCGTTAGTTGGCATGGCCCGGGAGCAAGCCCACTGAAATCACGTGTCCTCTACCTGCCCCTGTCCTTTGGTGTTCCCTCACCAAGCGAAGTATCGCATGCTGTGGGCTCAGCCCCACTGTACAGTGAGGAAGAGCTAACCAGAGGGCGGTCAGGAACGGGGGGAGACATCCGCCTCTTCAGCAGCCAGGCGAAGAAGTACTGGCGAGGAGAGTGGCTCGGTAGCCGGTCTAGAGACAGGTCTGTTCTCCTGACCCACACGCAGCCGAGGGGGCTAGTAGTGAGGCGGAGACCCTAATTGATGATGATGAGGCTGATCGCACTTGGCAGCCTCGTCGTCATCAGGCTATTGCTTCCGCATCATCAGGAGAAGAGGGTGCCAGCTTGGCAGCGAGCAAAACAGTCGGTGGGGGTTGCCCAGGAGGCAGCAGGGTCGTTCCAGGGCACAGCATGTCAGTGGAGGCAAACGGCCACGGAGTAGAGCACCAGCTCCACTGCATGGTGCCTACCACCACGGCCAGTAGTGGTGCCGGTGTGCACGGAGGAAGTACGGGCAGTCAGCCAGTGAGGAGTAGCGGGGGCAAAGTTTCCTACTCGGCGGTGTGGCAATTTTTCGTCAAGCCGCCCGAGGAAGTAAACGTAGCCGTATGTCGACTATGTGGCCAGAAAGTCAAGCGTGGCCGGCCTCCCATGTCTCCATCGCCACACTCTGCCATGTGCCACTTTCAGGTCTCCTCACACTGCTGGTGGGTTCCATTTTGTCATAGGGTGCTGGCAGATTACGGGCCTCCCATTGCTGCTGCCAGGGCCCGTAATCTGCCATGGGCCCCTGTACCGCCTCCTCATGCTGCTGCCAGACCCAGAGTGTCATGGGTCCCTGTACGGCCTCCCATTGCTGCTGTCTCCATCGCCACACTCTGCCATGTGCCACTTTCAGGTCTCCTCACACTGCTGGTGGGTTCCATTTTGTCATAGGGTGCTGGCAGATTACGGGCCTCCCATTGCTGCTGCCAGGCCCGTAATCTGCCATGGGCCCCCGTACCGCCTCCTCATGCTGCTGCCAGGTCCAGGCCCAGAGTGTCTCATGGGTCCCTGTACGGCCTCCCATTGCTGCTGTCTCCATCGCCACACTCTGCCATGTGCCACTTTCAGGTCTCCCACTGCTGGTGGGTTCCATTTTGTCATAGGGTGCTGGCAGATTACGGGCCTCCCATTGCTGCTGCCAGGCCCGTAAATCTGCCATGGGCCCCTGTACCGCCTCCTCATGCTGCTGCCTGCTGCCAGGTCCAGAGTGTCTCATGGGTCCCTGTACGGCCTCCCATTGCTGCTGTCTCCATCGCCACACTCTGCCATGTGCCACTTTCAGGTCTCCTCACACTGCTGGTGGGTTCCATTTTGTCATAGGGTGCTGGCAGATTACGGGCCTCCCATTGCTGCTGCCAGGCCCGTAATCTGCCATGGCCCCCTGTACCGCCTCCTCATGCCTCCTCATGCTGCTGCCAGGTCCAGAGTGTCTCTCATGGGTCCCTGTACGGCCTCCCATTGCTGCTGTCTCCATCGCCACACACTCTGCCATGTGCCACTTTCAGGTCTCCTCACACTGCTGGTGGGTTCCATTTTGTCATAGGGTGCTGGCAGATTACGGGCCTCCCATTGCTGCTGCCAGGCCCGTAATCTGCCATGGGCCCCTGTACCGCCTCCTCATGCTGCTGCCAGGTCCAGAGTGTCTCATGGGTCCCTGTACGGCCTCCCATTGCTGCTGTCTCCATCGCCACACTCTGCCATGTGCCACTTTCAGGTCTCCTCACACTGCTGGTGGGTTCCATTTTGTCATAGGGTGCTGGCAGATTACGGGCCTCCCATTGCTGCTGCCAGGCCCGTAATCTGCCATGGGCCCCTGTACCGCCTCCTCCTCATGCTGCTGCCAGGCCCAGAGTCTCTCATGGGTCCCTGTACGGCCTCCCATTGCTGCTGTCTCCATCGCCACACTCTGCCATGTGCCACTTTCAGGTCTCCTCACACTGCTGGTGGGTTCCATTTTGTCATAGGGTGCTGGCAGATTACGGGCCTCCCATTGCTGCTGCCAGGCCCGTAATCTGCCATGGGCCCCCTGTACCGCCTCCTCATGCTGCTGCAGCCAGTCCAGAGTGTCTCATGGGTCCCTGTACGGCCTCCCATTGCTGCTGTCTCCTCCATCGCCACACTCTGCCATGTGCCACTTTCAGGTCTCCTCACACTGCTGGTGGGTTCCATTTTGTCATAGGGTGCTGGCAGATTACGGGCCTCCCATTGCTGCTGCCAGGCCCGTAATCTGCCATGGGCCCCTGTACCGCCTCCTCATGCTGCTGCCAGGTCCAGAGTGTCTCATGGGTCCCTGTACGGCCTCCCATTGCTGCTGTCTCCATCGCACACACTCTGCCATGTGCCACTTTCAGGTCTCCTCACACTGCTGGTGGGTTCCATTTTGTCATAGGGTGCTGGCAGATTACGGGCCTCCCATTGCTGCTGCCAGGCCCGTAATCTGCCATGGGCCCCCCGTACCGCCTCCTCTGCTCATGCTGCTGCCAGGTCCAGAGTGTCTCATGGGTCCCTGTACGGCCTCCCATTGCTGCTGTCTCCATCGCCACACTCTGCCATGTGCCACTTTCAGGTCTCCTCACACTGCTGGTGGGTTCCATTTTGTCATAGGGTGCTAGATTACGGGCCTCCCATTGCTGCTGCCAGGCCCGTAATCTGCCATGGGCCCCTGTACCGCCTCCTCATGCTGCTGCCAGGTCCAGTAAGTGTCTCATGGGTCCCTGTACGGCCTCCCATTGCTGCTGTCTCCATCGCCACACTCTGCCATGTGCCACTTTCAGGTCTCCTCACACTGCTGGTGGGTTCCATTTTGTCATAGGGTGCTGGCAGATTACGGGCCTCCCATTGCTGCTGCCAGGCCCGTAATCTGCCATGGGCCCCTGTACCGCCTCCTCATGCTGCTGCCAGGTCCAGTGTCTCAGTGTCTCATGGGTCCCTGTACGGCCTCCCATTGCTGCTGTCTCCATCGCCACACTCTGCCATGTGCCACTTTCAGGTCTCCTCACACTGCTGGTGGGTTCCATTTTGTCATAGGGTGCTGGCAGATTACGGGCCTCCCATTGCTGCTGCCAGGCCCGTAATCTGCCATGGGCCCCCCCCCCGTACCGCCTCCTCATGCTGCTGCCAGGTCCAGAGTGTCTCATGGGTCCCTGTACGGCCTCCCATTGCTGCTGTCTCCATCGCCACACTCTGCCATGTGCCACTTTCAGGTCTCCTCACACTGCTGGTGGGTTCCATTTTGTCATAGGGTGCTGGCAGATTACGGGCCTCCCATTGCTGCTGCCAGGCCCGTAATCTGCCATGGGCCCCCGTCCCATGGGCCCCCCCCGCCTCCTCATGCTGCTGCCAGGTCCAGAGTGTCTCATGGGTCCCTGTACGGCCTCCCATTGCTGCTGTCTCCATCGCCACACTCTGCCATGTGCCACTTTCAGGTCTCCTCACACTGCTGGTGGGTTCCATTTTGTCATAGGGTGCTGGCAGATTACGGGCCTCCCATTTGCTGCTGCCAGGCCCGTAATCTGCCATGGGCCCCTGTACCGCCTCCTCATGCTGCTGCCAGGTCCAGAGTGTCTCATGGGTCCCTGTACGGCCTCCCATTGCTGCTGTCTCCATCGCCACACTCTGCCATGTGCCACTTTCAGGTCTCCTCACACTGCTGGTGGGTTCCATTTTGTCATAGGGTGCTGGCAGATTACGGGCCTCCCATTGCTGCTGCCAGGCCCGTAATCTGCCATGGGCCCCTGTACCGCCTCCTCATGCTGCTGCCAGGTCCAGAGTGTCTCATGGGTCCCTGTACGGCCTCCCATTGCTGCTGTCTCCATCGCCACACTCTGCCATGTGCCACTTTCAGGTCTCCTCACACTGCTGGTGGGTTCCATTTTGTCATAGGGTGCTGGCAGATTACGGGCCTCCCATTGCTGCTGCCAGGCCCGTAATCTGCCATGCCATGGGCCCCCTGTACCGCCTCCTCATGCTGCTGCCAGGTCCAGAGTGTCTCATGGGTCCCTGTACGGCCTCCCATTGCTGCTGTCTCCATCGCACACACTCTGCCATGTGCCACTTTCAGGTCTCCTCACACTGCTGGTGGGTTCCATTTTGTCATAGGGTGCTGGCAGATTACGGGCCTCCCATTGCTGCTGCCAGGCCCGTAATCTGCCATGGGCCCCCGTACCGCCTCCTCCTCCTCATGCTGCTGCCAGGTCCAGAGTGTCTCATGGGTCCCTGTGTACGGCCCTCCCATGCTGCTGCTGTCTCCATCGCCACACTCTGCCATGTGCCACTTTCAGGTCTCCTCACACTGCTGGGGTTCCATTTTGTCATAGGGTGCTGGCAGATTACGGGCCTCCCATTGCTGCTGCCAGGCCCGTAATCTGCCATGGGCCCCCTGTACCCCGCCTCCTCATGCTGCTGCCAGGTCCAGAGTGTCTCATGGGTCCCTGTACGGCCTCCCCCATTGCTGCTGTCTCCATCGCCACACTCTGCCATGTGCCACTTTCAGGTCTCCTCACACTGCTGGTGGGTTCCATTTTGTCATAGGGTGCTGGCAGATTACGGGCCTCCCATGCTGCTGCTGCCAGGCCCGTAATCTGCCATGGGCCCATGGGCCCCCGTACCGCCTCCTGCTGCTGCCAGGTCCAGAGTGTCTCATGGGTCCCTGTACGGCCTCCCATTGCTGCTGTCTCCATCGCCACACTCTGCCATGTGCCACTTTCAGGTCTCCTCACACTGCTGGTGGGTTCCATTTTGTCATAGGGTGCTGGCAGATTACGGGCCTCCCATTGCTGCTGCCAGGCCCGTAATCTGCCATGGGCCCCTGTACCGCCTCCTCATGCTGCTGCCAGGTCCAGAGTGTCTCATGGGTCCCTGTACGGCCTCCCATTGCTGCTGTCTCCATCGCCACACTCTGCCATGTGCCACTTTCAGGTCTCCTCACACTGCTGGTGGGTTCCATTTTGTCATAGGGTGCTGGCAGATTACGGGCCTCCCATTGCTGCTGCCAGGCCCGTAATCTGCCATGGGCCCCTGTACCGCCTCCTCATGCTGCTGCCAGGTCCAGAGTGTCTCATGGGTCCCTGTACGGCCTCCCATTGCTGCTGTCTCCATCGCCACACTCTGCCATGTGCCACTTTCAGGTCTCCTCACACTGCTGGTGGGTTCCATTTTGTCATAGGGTGCTGGCAGATTACGGGCCTCCCATTGCTGCTGCCAGGCCCGTAATCTGCCATGGGCCCCTGTACCGCCTCCTCATGCTGCTGCCAGGTCCAGAGTGTCTCATGGGTCCCTGTACGGCCTCCCATTGCTGCTGTCTCCATCCATCGCCACACTCTGCCATGTGCCACTTTCAGGTCTCCTCACACTGCTGGTGGGTTCCATTTTGTCATAGGGTGCTGGCAGATTACGGGCCTCCCATTGCTGCTGCCAGGCCCGTAATCTGCCATGGGCCCCCTGTACCGCCTCCTCATGCTGCTGCTGCCAGGTCCAGAGTGTCTCATGGGTCCCTGTACGGCCTCCCATTGCTGCTGTCTCCATCGCCACACTCTGCCATGTGCCACTTTCAGGTCTCCTCCTCACACTGCTGGTGGGTTCCATTTTGTCATAGGGTGCTGGCAGATTACGGGCCTCCCATTGCTGCTGCCAGGCCCGTAATCTGCCATGGGCCCCCGTGTACCGCCTCCTCATGCTGCTGCCAGGTCCAGAGTGTCTCATGGGTCCCTGTACGGCCTCCCATTGCTGCTGTCTCCATCGCCACACTGTGCCATGTGCCACTTTCAGGTCTCCTCACACACTGCTGGTGGGTTCCATTTTGT